GATCCGTTACTGTCGTAGTCGGGGTGGAGCGAAATGCCCGAGCCGATCAGCACGGATGCGCTGACGGGGGTGTATTCAATGCCTTGTTCGATCGTATGGTCGTCTGGAGTTACGTGAGTGGAGCGTATACTATGTGAGTCGTCTTCATCTTTGTCGACGGGAACGTAACCTTCTGCCATATTCCTAATCGCATTGCGGTGCTTGTAGCTTGTTCGAGGTTGTTTTAAAGGCGATAAGGGCGCTGGATATTTATTCTGACCTCGCTTTTCCGATGGACCGAAATTGGCTGAATAATCCAAGGGGTTTAAGACTTGGCCAATGAAATATGGTACATTTAAGGTTTACCGGGCGGAAGCGCTTACTAACTTTACACTTTATCGGAGATTTTAAACTTTATTGGTTCGAGGTAATGCGCCTTACCCCTGAATTGTTGCGTAAAAAAAAGGAAGACATTTTATATTGAGACCGGTATGTCAGCTTTGAAGCAGTGGCCAGGAAAAGACAAATGTAGAGAATTGAGGACCCAAGTAAGACGCTAGAAGATAAAACGATTTCCCCAGCACGCTTATAGATACTCGTAATTTGGCCGAAAGGCCGCCCCTCCGAATTACCTAGATCAAAAGATTTAGCGAGCGTGAGTGAGTACAAGAATATCAGGTGAGAAAAAAATTATCGGTAATACCGGCTGGGGTTTGGGTTAGGGTTCACTGGACCCCCTGGCTGCTGGGGGTGGTAAGCTTGGAACCCCGGGGGAACTCCAGGAGCAGATGGCGTGGGAGCAGGGTAGCTTGGGTAAGGAGGTTGGGGGGAAGTGGATTGTGGGATTGAAGGGGGCGGGTGGGTTGGAGGCGGGCCATGCTGTGGTTGTTGCTGCTGCGACTGGTCTTGTGGCATGGGGTATTGAGGGTTGGAACCAGGAGGGACAGTTTGGACAGTTTGGTTGTTGAGGTCAGGAGCGGGTGCGGATGCACCGCCTGGTGGTGGGTAGGCGACGGGTTGTTGTGGGTGTGGATAGTGCTGCGGATGGGTTGCAGAAGGCTGGGATTCATGCATAGGTGGATGGTAGGAGTGTCGGGCATTAGGGTTGGTTGCTGTTTGAGGAGAGTCGTATGCCGATGTACTGAGTTCCTGTGGCTGGTCTAACTTGGTCTGTATCGTATACTGTGTCTGTGGGTTGCTGTAGGCATCTTGACCCTGCTGGCCGGGAACAGGTGTATGTTTTCTATTCTCAGGAGAAGCGGCTGAGGGGTATGGCGGGCCAGATTGCTCAGCGCCAGCGCCATAGTATGCTGAAGGGTCATTAGACGGTGGCGCATTTTGAGCTCCTATAAACATGATCAGCCCAGGCTCTCTGGTTTCGAATTTGAAAGGCTGCATTTCCTTACCTGGACGGGGAGTAAAGTATCGCTGGTCAGGCTGCTGTGGGCCAGGAGGGTACTGCTGTACCCCGGAAGGTGGGTACGCATAAGCAGCCTGAGGCGGCGGACGACCAAACTGCGGCTGACCAGGATGCGCCATTGAAGATTCAAGCAGAGCTTCGTAATCCCGACGAGCTTTGATGAACTTTTCATTTAATTGCGTAAAGTCATCTATTCACATTAGTTCGATATCCCCTCGTATCATAGGAAACCCAGACGACATACCTTTCTTCTTGGAGTACTTGCCGATCAACTCGATCAGCTTCGGTCGAATGGCTAGAGTAGAATGGTAGAGGGTGGTAATTTCCTCGTTTTCCTGCACATTTAGTTCCGAGTTACTCGTGCTGAGGAGGGCCAGCAATTTCTCGACATTCTTGATCTCCGCAAACACCTCTGCTTCCATCTGCGCCTCCCGCTGAAGTTCTTCCTGCGTGGGATCCGAGAGTTTCTCAACATAGTTCAGAGGGAAGATGCCGGTCTGGCCGCGGAGAGAACCCTTCCACCAATCCTTGTACACCGATTCCAGAACAGCGATGACATCGCCCTTTCGGAACTGAAGCTCGCCTGGCTCCGAGGGCTGAAAGTCGTATAATGCTCGAACCCGAGAGACGGTGGCGGCCGTGGTACCCGATGCAATGGCTGTAGGTTGAGATGTAGATGCAGTATTGGACCCTTCTGCAGCAGATGCTTGCTGGAAGGACTCGCTGTTTGATGGCTGCTGTTCGGTGGCGGGTTGTTTATCCTTGACGGACAGCGCAAGGGCCATCTGCAGCTCTTCTTCCTCCTTTAGTCTGTCCAACTCTGTTATTTCCCGCTTGGTCGGTTTGGACGGGGGTTGAAGGTTTGGGTCTGCGGCCCGTTAGCCCGGAAACCAATCGGAGGTCGCACTTTTCAAAGAGACCGATGCAAGAGGCTTACTCTGAGACTTGAGCTTAAGGTAGGCTTGTTCCATGATCCCTAGGTCAGGATTACTAGAGAACATCTCCGTCCATTGCTCTATGTGTTCTAGTATCTTCGACTTTACTTGCTGATGGGTGTTCTATAACCATCCATTAGCGAGACCGCTTAACAGTATTCGAGGGGACACACTTACCCTATCATTTGCAAGTCGTAGAAGCGCATCTGTAAAGCTCTTAGAGGCCAGCTCCTGGTACACCTTCTGTCCGCAGTTCTGTGACAAGGCGTTTGCAAGCTATACCGGCGTCAGTAATGGTTAGATAGACCATAACAACCCCCACCCGCATCCAACGTACCTCAAGCGTGTAAAGCTGAACATTCGCATTTCGATGTGCCAGTCTTCGGATCAATGCAGCAACAGCATCTTTCGCTCTATGTTTCCATCAGTAAGCTCCACCCTCCATCCCAATCTAATAATAGCGGACGATCCCCCTTACCCAGAGCTATCCGACGACACTTTATCACAAACGTCCTACCAGGGTTTATCCGTTAGCTACTAATCCCAGCATCACCCATGGGCTAGGTACGTATAACGTACAAGGATATACTCCCAGTTCTCTGAGGTCAGATTCTCATCCGTCGCCTTAGCTATAGTAGCAAACAGCAGTTAGCATCAGTCGTCAGCTGCACAGAGCCATGAAAAGAACCGCATGAACCCTACCGACAGCATCATCAAATGCATTCTGCTGCACACGAAACATATCGAAAAACAGCTCCGCGCAGTACCTTCTTCGGTCTTCGCTTATTCGTCCTCGTTTGTTCGTGGATAGGTTCGGTCGTATGTAAGGTACGGCGCCAAACCCCGCACAGGCAACCAGATATCTAGTCAAGCAAGCTGTGTGATATGCTGTGCGCACAGAGGGGCGGTAGTAGTGTACACCTGAGGCGAGAACCTGCGCCGGACGAGTGGTGGTAAATGTATATCTTCTAAAGCCGTTCGAGGGGTCCGGCGTGCGTGCGTAAGGGTAGTTGGAGATGCTGCCTCGGATCGTGTTTCTGGCTTTTGGCTTTGCTTTGCTTTGCGTCAAGGAAAGGTCGGCGGATGCGGCTTCGATTACGTCAGCGCTGGGCTGAGCGCGTTTTCGTGGCGCGGCATAATTACGTAATACGTGGCTTAAATAGACCTTACGTAAGCGGATGATATGAGCAGGGCAAAACAAGTTCTATTGATGGCATCTATTGGTAGCAGGTGAGACGAAGCCGGAGAAGAAGAGGAATAGACGTTGATAGATAATGGCACACTAGGATAAGACGAGTACAATAGCTAGATGGATAGCCGGTGGATAGCGGGGAAGACAAAGCCAGGGAGAAGAAGAAAAGGGGAGGAAACGAAGCAAGCAGAAAGGAAATTCGTCGCTGTTATTTTTGTTTTAAAAAAGGAACATATCGGATGGACATAACATGAAGGAAAACCCAGCTTCTTTTAACGTGGCAGGTAAGCGAGGAAGCAGATCAAGATCAGGCCAGCAGAAAGAGCAGTGGTAAAAACATAAATAAGCAAGAAGAAATGCCGTAACTAGGTTGGTGCGTTGATAACGAAGAAAAGGGGGGAGGAAAGGAAAAGATCACATCTCATATTCATGTCACGTATAACTTATATTTCGCAGTTCGCAGGGCAGGGCAGGTAAAAAGCAAGGCAGGACATATCACGTTGGAAAAAAAGGTGGAAACAGAGGAGAAGTAGCTGTTGCTTGTTGCTTCGCTTGCTTTGGTTTGCTTTGGGTTTGGTTGTGTTGCATTGTATTTTGGTCATGGGAGGTCAAGTCGAGTCATCGTCTCATATCTTCTGGCCCGGATGCACCATAGCATACCACCTATCCATCGATCCATTCCCAGAGGGGTAAAAACTGGCAAAAAAAAAAACGAAGAAAAAAAAGGGAAACCATGATGGGGGAGAAAAAACCGATCTATCTGAGCCGAATAACCTAGAGAAAACAAGCAAAGAAGTCATGAAGAAGTTGGTCGGAGAGTAAGTGAAGGCGTAAAGCGGGAGAAGTCTTGTGGGTATCGCGGAGTGGAGTTGAGAGGAGAAGGAAGAAAGTGCATGGAGTATAGTATACGGTGTAAGAGATATCAGGAGTAAAATGGTAGAAGGAGAAGGTAAAGGCGGAATAAAGTAAGGTAAAGGTGAAGTAAAAAAGGGGGGAGATAGAAGGAAAAAAAGGGGCAAACATGAGAAGTAGTGATGGCATATAATATGTTATCTCATACTATGCGGCGGTGTTGTGTAAGCAACTCTAAGCGCCGCCTTTCTGCGCCTTCTCTTGCGCTCTGTTTTGGCGCGCAGCCTTAACAAGCGGCGCTAGGCTAGAGAGTGGTTCACAGTAGCTCATGAAAGGATGCTATAAAAAACTATTAGTAACGCACTACACACACTCAAATCACTAAACAAAGAGGATCCTACCTTGAGCAAATCATGTGCTGAAGCCCGTTTTTCTGCATCCACTTTCAGCGCCATGCCCAAGAACTCTCTAAAGACAGGCGAGAGGTTCTGCTCGTCTTTGATGGCGGGAGTTCCATTCGTGGCAATCAAGTAGAGTGCTCTGAGAGGCGACTCGGTGAGATACGGCGGTTCACCTTCGATCATCTCGATGGCCATGATGCCCAGAGACCAGATGTCGACTTTCCTACCGTAGTCTTTGCGGGTGACTACTTCGGGGGCCATCCAGTAGGGTGTTCCGACCATTGTGTTACGTTTGTGGTGGGCGTCGTTTATTTGTGCACAGAAACCAAAGTCGGCTGGGAAGACGTTAGAAATTTACCTTTTTTGTGGCAGTTAGAAAAAAAAAAATGCAAGGGGACTAACTTAGTTTGATATTGCCTTCAAGGGAGAGAAGGATGTTATCTGATTTAATGTCTCGGTGAATGACGCCCTTTGAATGCAGATGCTGGAGACCATGCAGGACCTAGACAGAAGAGTTAGAATGGGGTACCGAGTAAGAGATATTAGGGAAAAGGCGACCTACCTCCCGACAAACGGCAGCAATCTGTCCCTCGGTCATGATGTTAAAAGTAACCACGTCCGTCAAGCTGCCTCCCTCCATGTACTCCATGACGACCCAGAGGTCTCCGCCGTGCAGGAACGAATCCATGTAATTGACGATGTTCTTGTGTTTGCTCTCCTTCATGACCAAGATCTCATTGATGATAAGGTCCTTCTTGGGCTGCAGTTCAAGATTCATCTGCTTGATGGCTACGCAGTGATTTGTGCCGATCTCATAGGCAGTGTAAACACCACCAGACGCGCCTTGGCCGATTTTGTGGAGATTTCGATATTTGCGGGTGGGATCGCCAGTGGTGCAGATAGTGTTGAGACGGGCGCGGATGTCGATCGTGGGGGTAGGGGGCTGGCGGGGGCGGACACGCGGACGAGCGGAGGCCCCGGGAGGTAGTGGCATTTGTTGCTGCTGTTGCGGATGAATCTGGGCTGACCCTGGCACAGGGGCGTGTGCTGGAACTGGGACAGGGGCTGGAACAACTCGGGGACCCTGGGCGTGTTGTAGAGGGTAGTTCTGGGATTGAATTTGGGGATAATTCCCGTCCGGAGCCGTGTAGTCGACAGGAGATGGCTCATTCATTTGTTGCTGAGCCTGTTGCTGTTGTTGTTGCTGCTGTTGAGCCTGCTGCTGCTGTCTCATACTCCTGGACCGCTCGATCTGCTTGTTGGTAATGGCTTGCTGAGCAGCAGTAATGGCCTGTTCCTGCATCTGCTGGTAGACAGCGGGCGAAGTAATTGCCGTAGAAGGCTTACGAGACAGACCACCGGGACTGATTCCGCCGTTGGCATTGGAATTCGAGCGGCTCCTAGCCGTGGCTGGCGGAGTAGTTGTCGGAGTGGAAGTCGATTGTAGCGGAGCAGACTCTGGTATGGTCTGGACACCAAAGGGGAGAGAAGAGGCGCCAGCACTGGTAGGAGTGATCAATGGCTGTGGCGGTGGTCTAGGAGCCTTTGGAGCTGCTCGATTTGGAACCCATCCCGATGCTGGAGCGGACGGAGCCGAAGTAGGCATAGATGAAGGAGCAGAAGACGAAGTCGGAGGAGCAGGTGGCGGTGGACTGGCGAGGGGGGTCTGTCGAGGAATGGGAGGCGGTGCGCGGGGGTTCTCAAAGCTTCCTTCGTGGTTCTGCGGGAACCTCGGAGATGTGATACCGGGGCTGGTAGCGAGAGGAGTGACCTGCTCATGATGATGATAGTGGTCTGCCAGTCTAGCGTTATCAAACTTGTGCCAGACACCTTCGTCGTCACGGCCAGCAGCGTTCTTTTCATAGAACTTCATGATATCAACCATTGTCTGCGGATGCTGTTCTTGCTCTTTCTTTGAGATGCCGGACTCCTGCAGCATGCGTTGCCAGTCCTTTGGTAGACCCTGAGAAGGTTAGCATATGAAGTAAAGTTGACAGGATAGTGAAGCAGACAGTGAAGTAGATAGGAAGTGAAGTAGGATAGAATAGTGAAGGAGAAAGAAAGGTGGTGATGAATCAAAGTGACGCGAGCAAGAGCATACTGTGAACTGTCCGGTCTGGTTGTCAAAGCCAACGTGAGTGACGTGCACCGGGTTCTCTGGCGCAGAGATCTTGATATTCCTCGGCGAGCCCAGCATGCTGTTGACGAAGTTGCTAAAGCCGGTCTTCTTCCTGCTCAACGAGAGCCTGCTGCCTCCTCCTCCACCGCCGCCGCCGCCGCCGCTACCGCCGCCAGTACTGCTCTGTGCATTGTTGGGATTGGCGGGTGAGCTCGACCCTTCGTCTGATTGTCGATTGAGCGGAATCGAGGTAGCAATACCCGCTCCGGGTGTGGTGGCGGCGGGAGAGGGTCCAAACCCAGCGGAGTTGTTAAGGCTAGGCGAGACCTCCGGACTGGATCTGTAGCTGTGCGGCATGGGGGGCCGGCTGGGCACCATCGTTTCTTCTGTCATCTCGTTACCGCTGTTGTTGTTGTTGTTGTTGTTGGTGTTGCTGTGAGATGTCGAGGGAATGTCATCCTCTTCGCCCGTGGAACTCGAGACTCTCCCGTTCTGCATAATTTGTGTGTTGTTGTTGATGATGATGTTGTTGGTGTTGCTGTTCGGCGTGTGCGTGTTGTTCTGGACCAACTGTAAGCGCCCAAAATCGACGCCGTTGACAGGACTGGCCCCCCCAGGAGGACCACCGCTGACAACACCACCACCCGCCAGCTGGTCCACGGAGGCCGACGAGGAGGCAAAGTTACTCGAGCGTGTGCGGGAGTGGTCTCTCTCGCGGGCCTGGTCGCGCTCTCGCTCTCTGTCGGAGTAGGAGCGCGGGTAGACGGGAGCGGAGGGATGGCGCTGCAGCGAGGTCGAGGAGTGCTTCTTCCTGACGGACCATGGCGAGGTGAGGTTGCTGAGGGAGGAGAGCGGGCTGGAAGAAGACGAGGAGGACTGCTGGAGGAAGCTGGGCGGCTGCTTGTGTAGTTTCGAGGATGGGCGGTGCGGCTTTGGCGATGGCTCGGAGTCCATCGTGAAAAGCGTGAGGCCGGGCGGGAGGTCGAAGTTGGCCTGCAGGACTGGAGGGTTTTTGGGGCGAGCTTTGGATGAAGCTCTGGGCGTCCAGACGGTCAGACACGTCGCAGGCAGGGAGAACGGCGCAGAAGAGAGTGAGCAGAGAAGAAGAAGACAAGAAGAAGGAGAGAAGAAGACGAGCAGAGACAAGGTGAAGATTAAAAAGAGCCCAGGCGGAGGAAGAAGCAGAAGAAGCAGAAGCAGAAGCAGAAGAAGCAAGCCAGAAGAGCCAAAGCAAGCAAATTGCAGGAGGAGAACGCAGAAGAGAGGGGACTGGGGGGCCAAGGTGGTATTGTCTTGTCATGACGCGTACTCCACAGGCACGGAACAGCAGGTGAGTGCTTAGCGTGCTAGGGAGGAACCAGGCCAGGGCGAGACCGTCATGTACGGTAAGTGACAGACGGGTACAGGGTCGGACCAGAAGTGACCGCCCAAAAGGCCCAAAAAGGCCCAAGAGTTACACCTAAAATAAGTTACGCTTAAGTTTTTTATTTTTTATTTTTTTATTTTTATTTTGGCTTTTCGTTTGCGTTTAATTACCCCGGTTAATTACATTAAATTACATTAAATTACATTAATTACATTAACAGTGAAGAGAAGAGAGTGAAGAGTAAAGAGTAAGGAGAGAGTGAAGAGTAAAGAGTAAGGAGAGAGTGAAGAGTAAAGAGTAAGGAGAGAGTGAAGAAGTGCAGTAGACAGACCTGCTAGTAGAGTGACTGTTGATTATCAGTGAAGAGGAGAGAGCAGTACAGAGAGAGTAATAGAGAAAGCAGGCAACTTCTATATACTTAACTACTGCCTGCTGTCACCAAGTATGGCCGACTCTTGACTGCTCACATTCTACTCTCACTCTTATGTACTGTTTATTTACTTACTGCTGTCTTCTGTTTCATCTGCTGCTAATGAGACAGCCACTTAATATAGCAACTAGTATCATAGAAGCAGGACGTAGCAGACTGGCAGAAGACAGTCCAGACTTACTTATGATAGTAACAGCAGAAAAAGAAGCCTGTCCCATTATCCTCTTCTTCTACTCCCATTTCGATCATCTCTTTCCTCTCTTCGACTCCCCTTTTATCATCTTTTGCCCTGTCTTTTGCTGTCTTTTGCTGTGTCGCTTGTTACTGCCGCTGACTAAGCTCTTGCAACGTCGCCTCAGCGCCAACTTCGATCTTTGACTTCCCGAACCAGAACATCCTCGACCGTCAAACCGTCAGGTCAAACCGCCAAATCCTCGCCCGCCAACCGCCCTTCTCCCGTCCTGCAGAGGAGAAGCCTGCTGTCCTGTCTGAATTGTCTCTTGTGAATGCGTTGGTAGTGCTGCTCGACGATGGAGTGATCTTCTCGCCTGCTCAGCCCGTCTTTTCTCCTGCTCCCTGCTGCACACGACCTACTCGATAACCACCCTGTAAGCGTTCCCTTCCCCAGCCATTGAAGGCCATTGAAAGCCATTGAAGGCCAGAAACCACCGCTAACAGTCACTCCCAGAACGGTACGGATACTACGAAGCTCGCTCGTCTCGCCATGCTGTCTTCTCAGACTCAGAACACCGGCATGATCGTCAACGGTGCCCCCAAGTCTCGCGCAGAGGAGCTCATGGCCCAACATGCCCAGGAGGCTGCTCAGGGGCCCACGGTAGAGGATGTCGTCGACGAAGAGGACATCCTCCACCCGCCTCCCTCTGCCACCGCTGCTCCTGCTAAACCTGCTGCTGCTCCTGCTGCTGCTGCTGCCCTCGACGTCCAATCTGAAGAGTCCTTCCCGGCTCTCGGCGGTCCCAAGGCCTCCTCTCGTCCCTCCGCCGTCCCTGTGGCTTGGGGAGGCAGCAAACCACAACCTTCTCCTGCTAATACTGCTGCTAGCGCCACTTCTACTACTCTCACTCCAGCTTCTGCTCCTTCTCCTGCACCTGCACCGGCTCCGGCCTCGTCCACACCAAGACAGCTCACCATTCCAGGCAAACATGTGGACCAGTTCCGCTTCGATTCATCCCAGATGCTGCCTCGCTCGGAGCTCAAAAAGCCTGTGTCTGATATCCTGAGAGATATCAGCAAAAAGTCCAAGGTCAGACTCGAGGTCAGGGAGGGTGCTGGTGGTGTCTACATCTTCGAGGGCACAGGCAACGTTGATGCCGTCAGGCAGGCCTTAAAGGAGGTTGCCCAGCAGGTTGGCAGCACGGTAAGCCATTTCTCCATCTAATCTAATCATTTCTTTTCTTTTCTTTCTTTCTTTCTTTTTTTTTCTATTTCTTGCTTTTTATATTTATTTTTTTATTTTATTTTTTTTTATTCAGGTGCTAACTGTTGTAGAAATCCGTCAAGGTCCCGGTGCCGGCTTCGGCCAGACCACACATCATTGGCCGTCAAGGAGCCGTCATCCAAGGCATCCTCGACCGCACCGGAGCCCGCATCGATGTCCCCAAGCCAGACGAGTCCAAACCGCTTGACGACGATGACGAGGACAACACAATTGAAATCACCATTGAAGGTGACGCCCTCGCTGCAGAGATGGCCCGCCGAGAGATCGAGGCCCGTGTCAAGGAACGCACCTCCAACATCAGCCTCCGTCTCAAGACCGTGGCCCCGGAACTCTTCCCCTTTATTGCCGGTCCGCACAACCAGTCCATCAACAGGCTGGAGGAGCTCACCAAGACCCAGATCCGTGTGCCAAAATACCACACCTGGGGCCACCGTCCCCCTCCACAGGAGCCCGCCTCGACCTCGGGACCGGTTCTCTACACTCCCGACCCAGACCAGCACATCATCATCGTCGGTGAACGACAGGCAGCCCAGGAAGCCCGCGCCCAGATCGAGCGCAGAGCCCAACTGCTACAGAACCGTATCACCCTCCGTCAGCTCGCTATCAACCGTGGACAGCACCAATTCATCGTCGGTGACAAGGGTGACTCCCTACACGACTTTTTGGCCTCCACCGGATGTGCCATCGTCCTGCCCCCGCCATCAGACGATACCGAGTTCCTCACCATCACAGGCCCTGCAGAGAGCATCGAGGCTGGTGTCAACCGCGCCATGGACCTGGCTACCAGCATGCAGATGGCCAATATCGATGTCTCGCGCCAGCACCCCAATGCCCCCTGTGGACCGGATGTCCATGCCCGCGCTCTAACGGCCTATCTCCAGCACCGACGGGTCATTGAGCATCTCGAAAAGACGCATGATTCCCACATCGTCCTGCCTCTCGAAACGGCTAGCTCCTCCAACGCTCCAATCACCTGGGAGGTCTACTCGCGGAACGGCAAAAATACGATTCTGGCCCGGTCCGATATCATGAACCTGATCCAGGCTCTGCCCCCGTCAAAGCTGGCCACCGTGCCCGTCGATCCCTACCTGCACGGATACCTCCGCTCGCGTGGCCTACCCCAGCTCAAAGAACAGTTTGGCGTGCACCTGGTCGTTCCAGAAACTGTCGGTCCACCAGCATCCGATAGGCCGGTCAACCTTGTTCTCGCCTACGAAGGCCCAGAAGAAGTCACCGCCCAGAGCCCCTGTCTCAAATGCCGCCCTTCAAGCGAGGACGCCGCCGTTTTCCAGAAGGCCCTGCGTGAAGCGACGGAGTATTTGCACAAGGTCCTAGGTGACCCCAAGGACGTCTCTTCCCAGTCTGTCCCCATCCCGCCCAAATACCATGACAGACTGCGCCGTTTCGTCGCCCAGGACCAAGCCAGCTACGGCGAGACGCATATACCCGTCAGTCTCGCCTTTGCTGCCGACAACGCCAGCAACGCCTCCATCCGTGGCCGTTCCGCTGACGTAGCTAACCTGGTAGCTAAGCTAGCCACCTTCGTAGCTGACCAGGAACGCGATGACCGTGAACGCAACCATGTAACTACATTCGACTTCCCCCAGAAATACGCAAACTTCCTCATCGGCAAAAGAGGCGAAAACATCAACAAGCTGCGTGAGGAATTCGACGTAGATATCAAAGTCGAAAACGGCAAGGTAGACATCAAGGGACCACCCGCTAAGGCCGCAGCTGCAAAGACTCGTATTCTCGCCCTGGCAAAGAAACTCGAAGACGAAGCTACGTACGTCCTTAAGATTGCACCGCAGTATCATCGTGACCTTATCGGCCAGAAGGGAAGCCAGGTCAACCGTCTCCAGGAACGCTATAATGTTCGTGTTCAGTTCCCTCGTGCCAACAACAATGTTCCAGATGACGTTTCCATAGCCGATACAAGCGAAGCTGCTGGCCCTACCAATGGCAACAGCAACGCTCGTTCCCGTGCCCCCCAAGCAGCCGATGAAGTCATTATCCGCGGGCCCAAGAAGGGCGCCGACAGCACCCGTGATGAAATCCTCTCGCTCTATCAATGGCTCGTAGACCACTCCCATTCAGCGGTTGTCTCGGTTGCTCGCGACCAGATACCGTCTCTCATTGGCCAGCGGGGACGAGAAATGGATAAATTCCGTGCTGAAACGGGTGCACAGATTGACATTCCTGGACCCGAGACCGGAGAAGGCGAGGCCGGAGCTAGAGTTGAGATTCGTCTCAAGGGGACGAAGAAGCAGGTTGATGATGCGAAGAAACTGCTTCTTGCTAGGGCTAGGGACTTTGATGAGACCATTACTCGTACCATTGAGGTTGATAAGAAGTATCATAAGGCTCTCATTGGTGCTGGTGGTACGTACCCTTATACCCTCCCCCTCTCTTGACTCGCAAACTATGATTGAAATACTATTTGCTAACAAAAATTACTAATGCTAGGTGCTCACATACGTAAACTAATTGTGGAATGCGGCGGGCCAGACGACAGCACTGCATCCCGCGTGGTCAAGTTCCCCCGAGCTGATAGTGATGAAACTACCATCAAACTCGAAGGCAAGGAGGCAGTAGTCACCAGCCTGATCAATGCAATTGAAGAGTTCGTCCGCCAGAAGGAGGACCAAGTGACCATCTCCATTGAAGTCCCTCAATCCCAACATCGTCATCTCATCGGCCGAGGAGGCGAAACCCGCCGCCAACTCGAATCCCAATTCAACGTGATTCTGGACGTACCCAAACAGGGCTCGAACCGGACCGATGTGAAGATCAAGGGTCCCTCCGCCGCCGTTGAACAAGCTAAAACACACATCGAAACCATGCTCAGGGACCAGCAAGGTGAAACCGTTGAAGTCCCAACACACTTGCACCATGTGATATCCGACAACGGCGCGTTTTTCCGCCAACTGCGGAACAACCATCAGGTCACCGTTGACCATGCAGGACACAGAGTGCCTGCCAAACCTTCGCCTGCAGCCGTTGAGTCGCGCTCAGACTCAACTTCTCTCCCACTCATCACTGACGCAGACGACTCCACCCCCGACACATTCTCCTGGAAAATCGTCGAGCCAGTCAGTCTACCTTCTGACTCAGCTTCAACCACAATCCCCTGGGTTCTCTCCGGTTCGCCCGAGAACGTAACCAAGGCTAAGGCGCTGCTTACCGCCGCTATAGCCTCGGCCTCCCAGCCGTGCTGTACAGGGTACTTGATCCTGCCCGACCCCAAGACCTACCGCTTCGTCGTGGGTACGGGCGGTTCTCAAATCAACGCCATCCGCTCCAAGACCGGATGCAGGATCAACGTCCCCAAGGGCCAGGCTGGCGGCGAAGCGATTGAAGTCAAGGGCTCGAGAGACAACGTCGAGCTCGCGCGGGAGATGATTCTTGATGCTGTCAAGGCCGGACTTGCGGGCCCGGGATCGAGGAGATAGATATTAGCGCTCTTTCGAACGTTGGGCTCCGTTTGGTTAAGCATTTATCTAAAGCATTCATGTGTTCAATTCTTCTATCTATCTATATATATATTGCCAAAGTTGATTTGGAATTTGACTCATAGTCTAGCTGGTTGGGCAAAAGGAGTGAAGAACAACAGATTGATTGACTGATAACGGATAAAACAAGAGATAGCACAAAAAAAAACAAGCAAAGAGCTAGAAATTATACCTAACTATTCTATTTCATTTTTCATTCATCTTTATCATCTCCTTTCAATCTCTGTATAATAAAATAATATGGTATGTGATGTTGATTGGTTGAATGGGCAGGCACAAATTGAAATATATATTCTTAGCCAATAGAAATGCCTAATTAATAGCTAAGACGTAATCTAATAGGAAGTAGTGAATATTTCTTTTTCTCTACAGCGAGCGGAGAGCGCAACCTGGCTTGTGTTCAATAATCGTCTCTACAGCAAGCCAGCAGCACGTGACCGTCAACCGATCAAAAATCCCAAAGAGGAAAAAAACGACTTCAACTTCGACTTTGATCGAGTTTCAACGTGATTATCGAAATAATAACTTGCACAGATGGCCATGCGCGGGTGTAGATGACGTACTTGGTGAGGTTTTGCCGTCAATTACTGCTCGTTCCATGGTTCTCTACACTATATCGCCACGCTAGTCACTAGCAGTTAACTATAACTAACTACCTGCTGGCCGTTAGTTAGTTATCCCGCACTGTCGCAACAGCATCGCCGACTCGGCCCAGCGACGACACCAAAAGACACGACAGAGTGCGACATCCTCATATACATGGCATAGCCATCCGCGTGCATATAATGCGATAGGACGAGGATGAACAAGATCCCTTTATTCCCGTACGGGTAGCTCGAGTTCGACGGACGCATCCCTCACTCGCTGCGCGCTGCTTTGACCGCCGAGCGAGACGAAACGAAACCCCCGCCGACTCAAAGGTGATTGCCGCGCCATACGCAACGCTCACAGCGTTCTGGAGCCGATTTGACAAAGAACGCAAAGAACCAGCATGGAGGCGGACTGGGATGAGGTGTCGCGCATTGTGGTGCCGCCCCCAGGACCGCATCTGTTGCCCACCGTAGCTACGGCGATTGGATTCGACGATACGCAGGAGCTTTTATGGACTGGCAACGAGTTTGTACGTCCCTTATTTCTGTCCTTCCAATATGATCCATGCTAATTAGCAGCTTAGGGCCGCGTTACCTCCTTCCATGGCCCAGAATTAACTCGATATACGTCCGTTAAAGCCCACCCAACATCTGAAGGGCCCGTCCGACAACTCCTCTTCCACGACAAGGGGGTTATATCGCTATCGTCCAAAAGCGTTCACCTGACTTCCCGCCGTGGCCTAACACAATGGCATCTCTCCGTTTCGGAAATGGTCGACCTGCGCTGCATGAGCTTCACTACGCATCCGTCCCGCCTCATCGTCGCGGGCTGTCAAGCGACGATGCTCATTATAGATCTGGACAAAGGTACTGTGGTGGAGAAAATTCCTGCCGAAGCAAACTATACCATCATGAAGAAGTCCCGACATCTCTGCGCCGCTACGGACGCAGGGTCGGTTCACGTCCTCAGCTTGACAGACTATACTCTGCTGAAGAGCTGGAAGGCCCATGGTGCGGTTATCAACGATTTGGATGCCCGCAACGACTTTCTCGTCACCTGCGGCTTTTCCGTACGGCATATTGGAACGCCCATCGTCGACCCTCTTGCAAACGTGTACGACCTGAAATCACTCACCCCGTTATCCCCTGTCCCCTTTCACGCCGGAGCAGCATATGTGCGTATGCATCCCAGACTACAAACAACAAGCTTCATCGCCTCTCAGTCCGGCCAACTACAAGTCGTCGACCTCATGAATCCGAATTCCATCAGCCTTCGCCAGGCAAATGTCAGCTTCATGCTGGGCATGGAGATTTCACCGTCCGGCGAAGCCCTGGCCGTCAACGATGCGGAGTGCTCAGTCCATCTCTGGGGGTCTCCTGCAAAAATTCACTTCAATGAAATGAGCAAGGAAACAGAATTCCCTGACGTCACTCCCCGACCACCAATGCTAGATTGGTCCGCAGATACCCCATTGAATGTGATTGGTATGCCATATTATCACGACCGCCTTCTTTCAGCCTGGCCCAGCCATCTTGTTTTCGAGGTAGGAAGTATCCCTAAACAGGTGGATCCGGCTATTATCCCCTACCTGCATCCAAGCGATATGGGCCAATATGCCCCGAACCCACGGAAGACACATAGATATCAGGTCGAGAACACCCGGTGTCAACCCACTACTGAGACCGCACTTGCAGCTCCCAAATTCCTAAGTGAAAAGGCCAGAGCACATACCAAGTCCAAGTCTCTTGGTGATAAAGAGCCTTTGGATGACTTAGATGGCTTAAAGATCAATGGGGAGGCGGAAAACGATCCTCTGTTGAAATATAGTAATGTAGAAATCAAATATAGCAAGTTTGGCGTCGATGATTTTGATTTCAGGTAAGATACCCCATTTGCGCTACTTACTCGCAGCTGTACTCATCCTTTATAACTAGGTATTACAACAAGACAAACTTCTCCGGTCTAGAAACACACATCTCCAACTCATTCACAAATGCACTCCTCCAGCTATTTAAATTCATCCCACTTGCCAAAAACCTCGCCCTTCATCATGCTGCGACAAACTGCATCTACGAAAACTGTCTTCTCTGTGAGATGGGATTTCTCTTCGACATGCTAGACAAAGCAAGAGGCCAAAGCTGTCAAGCAACAAACTTGCTCAAAACGTTCAGCGGGTTCAGAGAAGCAGCTAACCTCGGCCTCTTGGAAGAAAATCTCAGCAACAAATCACTCGCTTCTACCATCCAATCCGTCAACCGGTTCTTCTTAAATCAGATATCCAACGACTACAGACTTCTATACCCGGGCTCCGATCAACTGGATCAAGTATTTGCCACTTCAGCCATAGAATCAGTCCGATGCATGTACTGCCGTAACGAAATCGTTCGCGCAGGCAACACCTTCGTAAGCGAACTTATATACCCAGCCGTCGACATCAAACAGGCAGCACGTAACCCAGCATGCCGATTCTCCAACATTCTCCGCGCTAGTATCGAGCGTGAAGCCCAAAACCGCGGCTGGTGCAGCACCTGCAGACGATATCAACAAGTCGCCATTAGGAAAACAGTCGAGAGAATGCCAATGGTCCTCATGATTAATGCGGCTATTAATAATCCCGTCTGCAGACAGTTCTGGTCCATCCCCGGCTGGCTGCCTGAGGAAGTCGGGATTATCACCGACGGTAAACAGATGCGATGCTTTGAAGGAGCAGAGCTTCAGGCGCAGAAACGTGAAAAGACCCCTAACTTGCTGGTTTATCAGCTTGTGGGTTTAGTTGCTGAGATTGATGTTGTAGAGCAAAAGAAGCCTCACCTAGTGTCTTTCATTGATGTGGCTATTTCTGCGACCACACCAACAGAGGAAAGCAAATGGCATCTCTTCAACGACTTCCTTGTCACTGAAGTTGATAAGAATGAGGTGTTATCATTCAAGCAGCCGTGGAAGCAGCCGTGTGTGCTGTCTTACCAAATATCAACTGCCAGACACGGAGTTGATGACTCGTGGAAGAATGCCTTGGACACCACTCTCCTTTTCTACGAGTGGTCTATGAAGTAAGTTTACCCTGGAGTTTATCTATCTTGCCAACTCATCAGCTAACATTATACGTTCTAGCAACTGTCGCCCAATCGAGTCTTGTCAGGTGTTGAAACCGAATGAGAAGCCTACTCCAGGAACTGCCATTGCCCTGGACACTGAATTCGTGGACTTAGAAAAGGCAGAAATCGAAGTCAAAGCCGATGGAACCCACGAAATGATTCGACCCAGCAAGAGTGGTCTCGCTCGTGTTTCCGTTATTCGGGGTAACGGTACCCTCGAAAGCTCCCCCTTTATCGATGATTATATCACCATCAAAGACCCCATTGTTGACTATGTCACTCAATATTCGGGCATCAAACCTGGAGACTTAGACCCACGAACAAGTGCACACAACCTCGTTCCGCTTAAGGTAGCATATAAAAAGCTTTGGCTACTGCTCAACCTAGGCTGTGTTTTCGTCGGCCACGGACTAGCTTCTGATTTCCGGAAAATCAATATCCAAGTCCCCAAGGCTCAAACAATCG